TGCACTCGGGCAAGCCAAAGCCCCTCAGCCAATCAGGGAACACCGATAGTACACTAGGGCAAGCCAAAGCCCCTCAGCCAATCAGGGAGCACCGATGGAGCCCTTGGATAATCTAGGGCTCCTTTGGGTGCCTTTTGGCCCCAGCAGGGCCTGCAGAGATGTTGTTGGTCTCTGGGCTCTTCACTACAGATGGAGAGAGAAATTATCTGCATCTGGTAAGGACAAATGAATGATAATTTTTTCAGATAATTTTTTCCCCCAATTACCACAGGACAGGTGTGCTTGCCAGAGAAAGAGAGAGAAAGGGAGGGAGGGAGAAAATGCTCTCCAATGAGGCGTCGTGCTGCAATTTCTTCTGTATTTCTCCATCTTGTTGAGATTTGGGGGATGCACCCACATATACCAAATGTATTTTTTAAGCCACTGGGGCTGGGATTCAAACTGCAGTCAGCTATGTGAGAGCTGGCTCCCTTAACCACTAGACCATGCAGGGCTGGCCCTAGCAAGTAATTTTTTTAAAAGTAGTACATAGACATGTTCTGTGAGCAGCAGAACAGCTTATTACCACCCATGCTAATTTTTCAAGTGTTTTGTTTGTTGGTTTGGTTTTCTATAGGGCGCTTATACTCGCTGGAGAAAGGCAGGAATGGAGGAGGGAAAGTGAGAAATTACCCTGACAAGGAGGATGGCCATGCTGCAATCCCTTCTCTTGGGATTTTAGGCACAGGTGCACACATGCCCAGTGTGATTTTCAAGCCCCTGGGTCTGGGATTCGAACCACACAGTCATGTAGAGCCAAGGACCTTAACCTCCATGCCACCTGCTGGCCCTCCTTTTTTTTTTTTTTTTTTTTTCTTTTTTAAGTTTACTTATATTTTTTCTGAGAAAGAGAGAGAAGCACCTCAGCAGGGACTTCCACGTGATACCCTCCCCAGCCCTCCCAGCCAGGATCCTGGGCACTCATGCCTGGTGAGCACCTGTCAGCCAGGGAACGAGACCTGCGTCCTCCACATGGATCCACCTTCACTTGAACAGCACATTGCTGTGTACCACCGAGCCGCCCAGCAGAAATTCCCAGGGAGAGAAGCCCTAGGAGCAAAGCTGATCCGCTAAGTGCTGGCTGGTCATCCTTAGGTGGGAACCGAGGTCCCAAACCCTGGTCTGGGACAGGCACTTAGCCCCAGAAGTCCCCTTCACTGTGCCGTGGGACATACCGCACATCGTTTCCTTCATCCTCTCCTGCTCCTTGGGGCCGTTTACACGTGCGGGTCCGTCCCAGCCAGCTCTGCCTGCCCTCGGTGTTCTTTGGGGCCAAGATGAATGGCCAGAGCTGACCAGAGCCTGGCACAGGGGAGGTGCCCAGCTGCTGCTGTTGATCACACTGTCTTAGTGAGGCAGGGGACAGCTTGCAAATGGAAGTGGGTAAGGGGGCTGGAGCATCTGCCCATGTGGCCAGACAGAAAAACCAATCAGGGTGGAAAATTCCCTGCCCAAAATAATGTAGGCAGGAGATAGTGGGGCGTGTCTAGCTAATGAAGCCACATTTGATAGAGCCAATGAGATGGGTCAGT